GCTGACTACCATAGCAGAACCTTGTCTGTATTTTATTTTGTGCATCGTTTGGTTCGGTTTGATCTGTACTTGGAAGACCTTGCCACAGAAAGATCTCTCAACTTCTCCAAGTAAGGCTAAAAAGAACATTTTTGGTCATTTAGTGGCAAACATTTCAACTGAAAATAAGCAGTTCTGGGAGAACAGTTCCCTCCCCTTCTTCCCTCTTTACGTAAGCCAAGGGTGATTGCTAAGAGATGACCCAGAGGAAGAAAGCAACTCAGTCCTGCCAAACCACTTCCTGTGACTACATCTAGATATTCCTTTTAGTGGAGACTTCTCTTTCAACTATGAGTTAGTGGCTCTGAGTAAGTCATGAAGCAAGCTGAGACTTCAGTTTATCAAATAAGGTAACACTTCTGCCAGCTGCAAATAAATCTGAATAAAAGCAACGCAACCTGACAATAATCACTCTCCACTTCTACAAATACAATGAATGTACCCCTGTGAATGGAGTATCAAGCACCACCATGCTACTATTCTCCAGCCCTTCTGCCAAACTGAGAAGACCATCAAGCAGTGATGACAAAAATGTTGGTAGATGGACACTCCGCAGCCGAGGAGAAGGGTAACACAGATAGAAAACCTGAGGGGAGGATGCATTCAGACTATGGGATTGGTCCTGCCTTGGAAAACTGCCACAAGGCAAGGGCAAGGGGAGAAGAAAGACTTAACAACCCATTCAGCATGCAAGACTTCCCAAGAGAAAGGAAAAGAAAGTCAATGAAATTTCATCAGGTTCTCCACCAGAGTTTGCTTCCTCATGTCATATGATAGTCTGCCTAACTCCTTCACTGTTCAGATCAATTCCAAAAAGCTCTTGGAGATACATTTCCATACTAGAAGGGGGTTGTAAAGGGTCTGTAGACTAGTCAGGAATGTAGTTGGTCCAACCAACCCTGGGGAAAGCTAGGGCCCCCTGTAATGTCTGTGGTGAGTAGGCATATAGGGCCTGAACCTACTTAGATGCATGTATCTTGCTCATGCTGGACTTGGCCATGCTGAAACTGGAGGACAGAAGCAGCAGCTTGATACTACCAGACTTGCCCTTCTTCACATGACTCGCCCTGGTACAACATAAAGGCTGTCATTCTCTGGAGGCTTCACTGTGATTCTGAACATATGAATAAACAGAGTGTGGGAAGGGTGGGATTTTTACTCTATACTGATCTGGAGACAATAGCCATCTTTGAAGTGGGATTTGTGCATCATTGGCCCACCATGGAGACAGAGAGCTAAGGTTGTAAATACACGCCGGAACTAGTGAAGTTTGTAGTTTAACAAGGTCTTTAGCCTTTTCTGCTAAAGATTGCTGGTGCCTCAACAAATGACAATTCTCATGATCCCATTGCATTGAGCCATGAAAGCTGAAGTTGTGTCAAACTCCATTAATTCTACAGTGTGGATGCAGCATAAGAGGACTAATTCCCCACACAAGGCCTTCCTAATTAGCGTACTTTGTAATGCAGTTAAGGCTGCAGAAATGTATTGTTTAGTTTCATATATGGAAGCTCTACTCTGAGAAAATGAAGAGAATATTCTGTCTCTGAATTATCAGTGCAAGTTGATTGAAGAAATGAGCCCTCAAAGGGAAGGGTTCTTTGAAACTAGCAGATCATTGCTGCATTCAGAATGCTTTCTGCACAGATGATAAAGTGAGTAATTATCCCAGGTACAAAAAAATGCTTCTTTTTCAGTTATTGCTTGATCTCAATTCATGGGAAGCGTTTGAGTAACCATTCCCTGGTGTCTGATAATGCCATTTGAACTCAAAACTTCCAATTAGGGGTGTTTGAAAGCTTGAAAGAGTCATGGCAGTGACATTTGACCCTTGTCTGCCCTTTGCAACTACCTAAGGACAGATAATATTATTCCACTTCCACGGATTGCTACAGAACAAAAGATTTTTTTTTCTAAAAACTCCTACAGTGTCTCCTGCCTCCTGTTATCCTTATGATTTCCTCTACATCCTGTGACCAAGCTTGCTTCTTTCTAAAAGCTCTTTCTGCGACAGTGGGGCCTTTTATTCCCAGAGCACAGAATACTGGCCAATGGCACTTCCATCCAACAAACATGAAAAGACCTCGCATTTACCCACTTTACTCTTCACAAAATCTCATGCTAGTAGGAAGAACCACATGACAAAATCAAAATTGTTGACAAAACTCTTTTTTCAAATGGCATACACATGATCCTGTATTCCAAAGAAATAAACTTGGTTTCTTGCTTTTCTTTCCTTGGGTGCATTGAGTCAAGACCATGGCTCACAGTTAGTATCCACCAAACCAAAGGTATCCTATGCAACTGTGTATATATGAGCCAATCAGAGGACGAGTAACCTGTATTTCCCAGAGCTCCAAAATGTTCACTATGTGTTTGGCATTTGATCATTTCTTGTTATATGTCTTCAAGTCATTTTTTTGCCATCCTTTGCCTACCACTGAGGCTGAAAGACTGTGACTTGTCCAAGGTCACCCAGTGGGTTTCCATTGGCCAGGCAGGTTTTTGAACCCTGGTCTCCAGGTGCTGTAAGTTATATTTCAGAGGAAGGAACTGTCAAAACCACCTTCAAGTAATTCTTAGCTACAAAAATCCTATGATGTTCATTAGGCCACCATAAATCAACAAGCAACTTGTACGCAGATACACACACACTCATCATAGTCCAGTGCTCAGACTAGTACACCACACTGATCCTCTTGTGTGTGCATGTTCTGGGAAGGAAACTGTAGTGTTGTAATGCAACATAGCAATTTTCCCAAGGGCTGCATTTGCTTCCTGCTTAGAATCACAAAAGTGGAGATAGGGAAAATGTCATGCAACACATAATCTAGAGCAGTGGTTCTCAACGTGTGGGTCCCCAGATGTTTTGGCCTACAACTCTCAGAAATCCCAGCCAGTTTACCAGCTGATAGGATTTCTGTGAGTTGAAGGCCAAAACATCTGGGGACCCACATGTTGAGAACCACTGATCTAGAGCCACTGAGAAAATTCTTACATGGGGAAGCTACCTTCCATTGACTTGTACCAGGCCTACACAACCTGGGGCCCTCCAAGTGTTTTGGATTTCCACTTCCAGAATTCCTGACCACTGGACAAGCTGGCTAGGGCTTCTGGAAATCAGGGTCCCAGACACCTGGAGGGCCACAGGTTGTGCAAGCTTGACTTGGACTAACCTTCAAACTCTATATTCTATTCCAGTGTTCAGAATAGAGTCTATCCAGACCTACCAAAAGTTGGTGGGGAATGAAAGTAAAGCTTTCTGCAGATAAAATATGTTCTCTATCCCAATAACAGAATGTGAGGAAAAGACCTGGGTGAAAAAAGTACTACAATTCATCAAAAGACATGAAGGACAGATTATTTAGGGTAGTTAATATTTTTAACTACAAGTTCTACAATCTGGATGCTACAATTGAAAAAGTCCATATCCCAGAGAACTAAATATGTAGCAAGAGACAAAACAACATTTTGATTAATGAATATTATGGAGAGCCAGTCTCACATATTTCTGATTTTGTATGGATAGGGGGCTATGTTTGTCTCAGTGAGGCATACATGACCAAGGAGGTCTGATCAGGACTGCTCTTGCAATTCAACTTTCACATAACTTGGTCATCAATGCATTGGGCCAACAGTATTGCTAACTGACAGCCTAATGAGAGGAAAGTACTACATTCATCCAACTAAAATTTGTTACAGATACTATGCACATCTGTCAAATAAATTAAGCTCTGTGTTGCAAGCTGATGTGGGAAAACATGTCCCAAATAATGGGTGGAAATATATAAATGCGTAAGAAAAAGAACACAAGAACAACATGATGTACTTTGGCAGCTCTTGTTACAATGTAACAGCAACACTGCCTTAGTTTATGAGTACATTTCCTTTCTGAGACATTCCTTCCACAGAGATTGCAATGACTGTCCCCACCATTTTTAAATAAACTCTCTAATAATATTGTTAAAGGAGCCCTTGCTCTGAAAAGTCTTGATGTTGAAAAACAAAACCCACAGTCACATATATGTGAATTTGGAATGTCACGTAGATGAAGAGGAGGAACAAGACCCTTTAACATTTCTCATCCAATGTGCTGTTTGCAGGAAGTGGAGGGGGGTGTCATTTTATCTTTTCAAAAGATTTAACAATATGCCTTATTACCCACTTCTAAGACAGTTATTTTGCTTCATTTTTGACCATCCACTTCAAAACCAAATTGTCATTGCCACCTCCTACAGTCTGACACATCGTATGTTCATCACAGAAAATTGGCTGTAGGGAAGAGGTAGGAGTTGCTAATAAGAAATGCAGGAAATTCCGTCTGCTGCTCCCCATTTAGCCCACCATTTTCCTACAACCCTGTCGTTCAAATAAGAACATTACATGACCTTTACTGAAGACCTATGAGTCGAAAAAGTTACTTTTTTAGACTAGAACTCCCTGAATTTTCCAGTTGGCTAAAAGAGTCTAAGAGTTGTAACTAAAAACAGTATTTTTTCCCAGTCTTCTTAACAGCTATTGCTGCCTTCTATTTGCAGTCCTATGCTGGGAACATCTGCCTCCTTAGCTCACTTATTTCCATGGAAGTTCATGTTGCAAGACGTCTTGGAAAAAGGAATGCAAGACCAGGAGGGCCATGTCTGGAGTGGCAATCTTGAATTCTCTTTTTGCCCCTTGCCCTAGCCTCAGGATTTCAACAGTATTCTCTCTCTCTGGATCAAATTGAGATCTTGGGAGTAAATGAATCATCTTTCCCTCTCTGACACACAGTAAAGCATTCCACTGAACTAAGCACATTGCTCGTTGCCTGCTGACAGAACAAGGCAATTGATACCTCATTTCAGACAAAGTAATTTAGAATTTTACAGCTGTAAACCACAAATTTGCTTTACATCCTGACAATAACCACAATAAACCTCATCTCTAAGTCTACAAAGAAATAAAAAGGTTATTTTTATTACCATCTTGTCCAGAATTCTCCAGATACTCCGTCAGATCGCAGCCGAAGACGTTAGTGGCTCCTTTCCTCTTGAGTTTCGGCTTTCCTCCCTTGTTCTTCATGAGTTAGTTCCAAAAAGAGGTCTGCCCCCCTCCTTCCTTTCCCCCCACCCCCCTTGGTTTGCACCAGACAAGTGCAAAGCTCCCCCTTGTTCCTCAGACCTTCCTTGCCTGTCTCCCGTTCCCACTCAACAACATTGAAAGTCCAGAAGAACTTGCAGCTGGATGTATCCACATTAATCCCCTCCAGATGTTAAGCTGCTGTGGCCGCGGCTGCAGTTGCAGAAGGGGGAGGCTGAGACAACACAGAGAGCTCCAGTAGGCAGCAGCAGAGAGATCATAGCCCAAGTTCAGAAGGGTTCTTCTAAGAGGGAGGCAACTGGTGGCAAACCAGTGTCTTCAGTTATACTGGCAAGAGCGGGTAGATGTTTGCTGGGTGTCTCACATCCGTACTATTGAGTCCCAGGAACTTCCAGAGTGAAATCAAGCTGGTGAAGAAATCAAAATGAGGCTGGATCTTGCTGGATCATCCACAGAGCAGAGATCAGGAATCTTTTCTTCCACAAACTTGTAAAAAGAGAGGCAAAGAAAAAAGAAAGAAAGGGGAAAACATCAAGTGGTGGAAAAGAGAGAACCAGGCAAGTCTAAGAATCACTACTTTGGAAACTCCTCTTGTTGCATATTGACCGAACAACATTAGGAGAACAAGGAATGGGTTCCGTACATTAATGCAGTCTCTTGTGCTCTCCCCTTTCCCCTGTTTTTTAACAAATCCTGGGATTATCCAGCTCAGGAAATGCTGGAAGGAAGTTAGCTGGGGAGGGGGCGGAGGATGGACTTTTTGGCAGTAAAGTGTGTGTGTGTTAGAGAAATAAGAGTGGGGGAGAGGCAATGAGAGTGTTTCAAAGCCAGGAGAAGGGAGGGAGGGGGACGTCCTGCCAGCTAAAAGATAACGGGACAGCCTGAAAGGAAATCATTACGTTGAGTAGAGGCCCGCAGCAGTTCAGACTCTCTGACGTTTCCTGTTCCACAAATGGTCAGCTCTGAAAAAAGCCCAGGGAGGGGCAGGAGGAGGAGGAGGGTGCATAACTGGTTTCAATAAATGCCCAACTCTGGTTATTGATTCCCTTCCCACGACACCTCTCAACCCCAACACATCTTTCTTTATACTTTGGACAGAATGTTCTCTTCTCAATCCATATGCAGAGGGAGGAAGCAAGCAAAGAAAGGTTGTGAGTAAGAAAGGTAAAATAAGCAAGATGATCTCTTAGCCCACTACCTAAATACACACACACACACACACACACACACACACACGTGTACAAACATGCATGTCATTCCTTCAGACCAGAAGGTGATGTATCAAGCCCGGGATTTGAACTCTGGAATCAGTCTGCCTTTCCTCAGCCTGGAAATAAAATAACATCACTTAGCAAAATGAAATCTGCCCATCACTAAAATGAACAGGAAATAACTGCACAACTTTATCTTCTGTTTTTATAGAGGGATGCTGAAGCCATTCCCATTGGTAGTGCTGAATATCACTGTCTTCATTGCATAGGTGCAAGGAAAGGAAATTAATTCTACTTTACCTTTTTAAAATTCCAACTCAAGTAGACTCATTGAACCACATGTTGAATAGTGAGGCAAAATATAAGACAATATCATTGATTCAACAAACTCACTCTATCTGAGGTTAACAATGGTATTGGGGCCTTTCTTTTGCATCTTTCTTTAAATTATAGTCACAATAATAAAATTAAAACCATCAATATCACCAATAATCAGACAGTACTGTAGAAATGATCATAAAAATCTAAACACAGAAACAGATTTGTTTCAACACTGCCATGTAATGCAGTTTCAGAATGCAGATAAACTGCATTGAATTGGATTATACGAGTCAACTGCTATATAATGCAGTTTCAGAATGCAGATTTATTGCAAGGAACTGGATTATATGAGTTTAAACTGTTATATAATCCAGTTCAATGCAGTTAATATGCATTCTGAAACTGCAATAAATGGCAATATAGATCCAGCCAAGGACACTGTATTATTATGAATCAGTTTCTAGACTTATTACCATCCCATGTGAAATCTTTTTCAGAGATCTGAGATAAGATGTGTCACAGTTTTAATATTAATGTTCAGAAACTGAACTGTGACTTTTACAATAGTTAACATCACTTTCTACCCTGAGAAAACCTTTACTTAACTGTATTACAAACTATGTGTAGGCTTTTTATTTGTTTGAGCTTAAGAGATGAGCATATGGGCGCTTCGCGCGAATTCTCTCAGACCTTACGGCACACAACACACCCGTTGTGTATGAGATGGTAAAACAACATTCTAGTGGGGAAAACTTGTGCACTGAAACCGTTGAGAAGCAAGCTTCAAAAGGGTCAGGCCTCTGATTCAAACAAAGAAGCCTTAAGAAGAAGATATTTCTTAAAGCTTTCTTGGAAAAAAATAGCTGGAAACAGACAGTGACTCGCTTTTGTAGGAACAGCAAATCAATCTTCTCCACTCCCCAACCACAGATAGAAATGGAGAGAGAGAGAAAATTGCTGCCTCTTGACAAACTAAGGAATCTTATAACTAATCCAAAATGATGCCCTTGGCTCTAGCTGTATTTTGGTTGGCTCTAACTAAAGGAGTCTTAGCACATAACTTTAGATACTTCATCCACACATTCAACAGAATGAAGTGTTAAAATGCTGAGTTGGGCTAAACCAACCTCAGGTAAGTACTGATTGCACATAGTGTGAAACAGGGAATGGGGGATATGCACAACCTCCATAGAAGGGTAAGGCACACATATATACATCCACACATCCCTTGCTCAGACTACAGGTTGTTGCTGCAGTTAGAATTTTCTATTTTAATATTATCCTATGTTACAAAGTCCCTGCAAAAAGCAAAGAGCTCAGCAAGCAAAAGGGCAGGCTAGCATGTAGGAAGGTGCTCTAAACTAACTGTTAGCCCGTCTAATTCAGCATTGTCTTCAACAGGGTGGGTAAGTCCAATCCATGTAACTCATGCAGCACCCAAGACTGTTTTTAGGATTCCAGTATCCCCTAGCTCAACTTCAGAATATGTTTTGCATTTTTTCATGTTTTTTCTACTAAAATCCAGCTAGTCCAATGCTAGGCAGCCAGGTTGCTCACGGGAGCGGGGTAGAGGGAGTGTACAACTCCCTCGTTACATCAGCTCCATTGACTGTCTATTAGCTTCTGAGCAGGAGCCCCTGGTGGCACAGTGGGTTAAACCCCTGTGCCGGCCAGACTGAAGACCGACAGGTCACAGGTTCGAATCCGTGGAGAGGCAGATGAGCTCCCTCTATCAGCTCCAGCTCCTCATGCGGGGACATGAGAGAAGCCTCCCACAAGGATGATAAAAACATCAAATCATCAAGGCATCTCCTGGGCAACGTCCTTGCAGATGGCCAATTCTCTCACACCAGAAGTGACTTGCAATTTCTCAAGTCGCTCCTGAAACGACACAACAGCTTCTGAGCACAATTCAAAGTCTTGGTTTTAATCTATAAAGCCCTAAACCAGGGGTCCTCAAACTAAGGCCCGGGGGCCGGATACGGCCCCCCAAGGTCATTTACCTGGCCCTCGCTCAGGGTCAACCTAAGTCTGAAATGACTTGAAAGCACACAACATATATTGGGTGCTGGTCACACTTACCGCTCTTATACATTAAGAATTATTTGATAAAAATCAAAACACAAAAGGGACAATAATTTTCAAAGACAAGTGAAATGAAGGAAGTGCACCTGAGTGAGATTTTAGCGAACACTCTATTATTATTACCACTATTACTATTATTGTTTTTGTTATACATACTGGTAACATCAGAGTTCATTGTGCTTAAAAGAGTGCAGTGACAATAAAGAATGCCAGCAACAGCAGTATTCCCATAATGTTTTCAAACGTTAAAGCACTTGAATGGGTTGGGAAGAAAAGTTGTGGGTTTTCTTCAGTTTTAACAACCTATTTTTGATCAGCTTTTCAATTTAGTGTTGCTCACCCTCAGATCCTGCCTTTTTTTTAACTGCAACAATTGAAGTCTCACTACCACCCAATATATTTGAGATGGGCCATGCTGTAATTTCTTATCTGCTAGCTAGATGAAATAAGCACAAAGCTTCTGATAGAAACAGCAGTAATGTGCCTTGCTATGAAAGTAGCAATTGTTTATGCTTCAGGGTTGCTGGGCAATGACATGGAATTTATCTCAACAAGCATAAGTCAGCATCCAACTAGTTAAGTAACTACAGATGGGAAAATCTTCTGTTTGTTTAATTTTTCATAAGAACATTTCAAAATTTGCTAGTTTCTCCATAAATTTCAGCAGGAAGGCAACAGGAGAAAGTGAAACTGATGGCTTTATCGACCCCTAAGCATAGCCTGCAAGGTTCCAGATTTAAATCCCTAGGGCATTTGGCCATGTTTGTGGTGCTGAATTATAGAGTTGCCACCCCCTTTTTCCTAAGCACTCTACTTGTCTCAGAGGGGTGTTTCCACTCTACGCACATGTTTACTGTATTGGTTTATGTCCAGTCACAAGATTGCAGCAGTTGTGGGGGGGGGGGGTGTCTGGATTTCTGCCACCTATGGTATTTGCTTAATCAAATTGCCTATGTTTTCTTATCCACTACAATTGCTTGCCTGTGCTTCTGCAATGTGAAACCAGTAGAGCAAGAGACAGCAAAATGATCTGTGATTGTGTGCGATAGCATGTATACCAATCTTCATAAACATAAAAAACATTAAAATAGGGAACACCACTTTTTCCGGATGCTAATACAAACAAGGGAGTTACTCTTCTGTAATGGGAACTATTTGATGAATTAGATGATCTCCTAACCTCAGCAATCACCTATCTACTTCTCCTTCTTTCTTGCAACCCCATGATTCTACTGCAATCCAAATTCAGAGGTCAATGCCACATATTTTTTTAAAAACTGTTCTTCTTAGAAGTAACCTTCCCATTTTTTTAAAAAAAAATCTTTCTATTTGAGGTTTCAGCCATCAAAAAGAGGCATTTTCACATCAGAAAAACAACAATGTGTGTTTCAACAGGACTGGGATCAAGGTAAGGATGCCTTATTTAGCCTGCATATAGTTACAGAAAAAGCCACGTTCTTGAGATTGTTGATAATTATGATTTGAAGGTCTTTCACTCATTGCCAAGTTGACTTGATAGCAATAAACAGCAATTTGTTAAAAATCTAGCATATATATTCACAATTTGGATCTGGGAAAAAGCCTCTGGGGAAGAAAAGAGTTCTCCTTCTTTTCTTCCCCACAGCATTTCCTTTACTGCATCAGTCTAGACCGAACTATCAAATGCCTTCAAATGCAAAGCGGGTGGGGGGTATGTATGTGTGAAGGAAAACAAAGAGACATGAAGACGTCCCCTAAATTTAGCTGCACCATTAGGATTGTTTTCCTGTCACCCATAATTCCTTGTTAGACCTGAAACATTGATGTGACTTCCCTCTTCCAACATCTCCAACTTTCCCTAGTGGCGGCTCAACCCACTGTGGCGCCTCAACCCATTACGAAAAGTAAGCACTTGCAGTATAGTTGATTTTGCCCAGGGGCGCTCTTGAGGTGCTCTTGGGGGAAAATAGACCTTGACATATGCGAGTTATAGTTACTGGGATGTATAGTTCACCTACAATCAAAGAGCATTCTGAACTCCACCAATGATGGAATTGAACCAAATATGGCACACAGAATTCCCACGACAAACAGAAAATATATATCAGTGATTGGTTGGGGGGGGGGGGGCAAATACTGTTTGCTTACTGTTGAAAATTACCTAGGGCCGCCTCTGCCTATATATATATATATATATATATATATATATATATATATAACACTTTATCCAGTTTCATGTCAACTCCTGAGTCATGTTATCCTATTGTAAAACAT